ATTCATTTAATTTCGTTTGGGCATTTTGTTTTATTTTCATTTTAATTATTTATATTGATTGAATCTGAGTGCTACTATTGATTTTCTCGCAGAGTTGCATGTCTACAATGACGGGAAGAGAATTAATTCCAGCAGACTCGAAAATTGAGCGAACCTTTCACCGATTTCAATGAGAAAATGGAGAAGCACGTCAACAACAATAAAAAAAAATGGCTAACTCACATAACAGCCCCATTTTTCAAGCTAATGAAATAGAGGCTATGGATGAAGGAAATGAAATTTTAGGAGATTTCTTGACTCCTCAAGTGATTCAAAGCCAGTCCAGTATAGTGTATCCACCATTTGGGCAACCAAACTTCCAGTTGAAGACCAATTTTATGGCAGAGATGAAGAAAATCCACATACACACATATCTCGATTCTTGGATATGTGCCAACATTTCAGATATCAAGGAATTTCGGATGATGCTATTAGGCTAAGGCTATTTCTACATACGCTATAGGATAAAGCACTTGAGTGGTTAGATTCACTTCCTGTCGTAAGCATTACCACCTGGAACGAGCTAGCTCATAAGTTTTGCACAAAGTTCTTCTCACTGGCCAAGATAGCTAAATTGAGACATGACATATCAATATTCAGTCATGGAGAAACTGAATCATTTGACGACGCGTGGAACATATTCAACAATATGCTTTGAAAGTGCCCTCAACATGGGTTTGACAAACGACCCAAATCCAATTCTTTTATATAGGATTACTTTCATACCACAAAAGCATGTTGGACTCAGCATCAGATGGCTCAATATCCACACGAACAATTGATGGGGCACTAGAATTAATCAAGAGAATGGCTACCACTTTAGCCATGTGGTCTTCTAAGAGGGTGATCCCAAAGAAAAGTCTGGGTGTCTACGAGATAGACACTTATTCAGCCATATCTACAAAGATCGACTCTTTGTGTCACAAGGTTGAAAGCATGTCACAGTCAGCACACGTTAAGAAAAACAATTGTGAGGAATGTGGAGCTGAGCATAAAATATCAAAGTGCCCAATCATAATGCAAGGAATTGAGTAAGCAGACTATGCACAGTGAGGATAGCACCAACTGAACAACTCTTATGGGGAAACTTACAATCCCAGTTAGAAGAGGCATCCTAACTTTTCTTGGAGCAACCAGAATTAGAATAAACTACAGGAATAGTTTCAACAAGAAAAGAGACCTCAATTGGAAGAGATGTTAGGGAAATTCATGGAAAAAGCCGAAGCCACCCTTCAAAACCAAAATGTAGCCATTAAAAATTTGGAAACTCAGATGGGGCAGCTAGCCATGGCGTGGACTGGCAGAGCACCAGGTAATTTTTCGAGTAACACATAAATTAACCCCAAGGAGCAAGCTAAGGCCATTACAACTCGAAGTGGAATGCAGCTACTCGAAATACATGTCAAGAGGTTGAGTGTGAATGGAGAGGCATTACCTCCAGCAGAGGAAGAAACTGTGGAACAGGACGAACAGTCAAAAGAATAAGCTCCAAAGGGAAGCTCAGGGAATTAATAAAGCCACAGCTACAGTTAACCCATATGAGCTTCCAACTCCATTTTCCCAGCGGTTGAGGAAACATAAAATGGAGCAGCAATACAAGAAATTCCTAGAAATCTTCAAAAAGCTCCACATCAATATCCCGCTAGTCAATGTACTATCCCAGATGCCCAGGTATGAAAAGTTTTTGAAGGATATTCTATCAAATAAATGCAAGCTGGAGGACCACAAGACAGTAATGCTTACAAAAGAATGCAGCGCCAAAATTCAGAAAAAGCTCCCACCAAAATTAAAAGATCCAGGGAGTTTTACTGTTCTTTGCATTATTGGTGAAGTTTATTTTGATAAAGCCTTACGTGATCTTGGTGCAAGTATTAATTTAATACCTTTGTTTGTTTTCAGGAAACTCGGCTTGGGAGAGGCTAAGGCGACTACCGTAACATTGCAGTTGGCTGATAGGTCACTGACCCATCCCAGGGGAATAATAGAATATGTGCTTATCAAGGTTGAAAAATTCATATTCCCTGTAGGTTTCCTCATCTTGGACATAGAGGAAGACAAGGACATCCCGTTGATACTCAACATACCATTTTTAGCAACAGGGAGAGCCTTAATTGATGTTCAGAGGGGACAGTTAATTTTGAGATTGGGAGAGGAGCAGATATCATTCAACGTCTTTAAGGCCATGAAACTTCCTTTAGAATCAGATAGCTATTTCCAAGTCAATGTCATTGATAGGGTAGTCTAGGAGATATTCTTATTTAACAGTACACCTAATGCTTATAAGGTGTGTATTGCACATTCTCAGTTAGTCTAGTCAGACTCTCTTGAGATTGAGACATGTGCAAGGTTTCTGGAGACCAACCCACCATACACACAAAAGAGACACTTCGAGGAGCTAGGAATAAGGACCACAAAACCATTACCTTCCATTCAGCAACTGCCAGTATTAGAATTTAAGCAACTGCCGCCACATCTCAGATATGCTTATTTGGGGGAGTCATGTACACTCTCGGTGATTATTTCAAACACACTGAGTGAGGTAAAGGAAGAAAAATTGCTTAAGGTACTCAGAGAAAATAAGACAGCGATTGGGTGGATAATAGCTGACATCAAAGGAAATAGTTCTTCACTGTGTACGCACAAAATTCTCATGAAGGAGAATTGTAAGCCAAGTATAGAAGGGCAAAGAAGACTGAATCCAAACATGAAGGAAGTGGTTAGGACAGAGGTATTGAAATTACTAGATACCGACATTATATACCCAATTTCAGACAATGCATGGATCAACCTAGTTCAAGTTGTACTGAAGAAAGGAGGGATTACAGTGGTGCAAAACGAGAAAAGTGAACTAATTCCTACCAGAACAGTGATGGGATGGAGAGTTTGCATTGATTATCGCAAACTCAATGCAGCTACACAAAAGGACCATTCTCCACTCCCGTTTATTGATCAGATGCTAGAAAGGTCGGCAGGGCATTTACACTACTGTTTTCTTGATGGATACTCGGGCTACAACCAGATACCAGTTGCGCCAGAGGACCAAGAAAAGACCATGTTCCCTTGTCCCTACGGCATTTTTGCCTACCATAGGATGCCATTTGGTCTGTGTAATGCTCTGGCTACATTTTAGAGATGCATGATGGCAATATTCTCTGATATGATTGAAAGATTCATAGAGGTGTTCATGAACGATTTCTCAGTTTTTGGATCGTGATTTGATGAATACTTGGAGCATTTAAATATGGTCCTACAGAGATGCACGGAGCCTAACTTAGTTCTGAACTGGGAAAAATGCCACTTTATGGCAGAGAAAGGAATTGTAATTGGACATCGGGTCTCAGCAAAAGGAATTGAGGTGGACAAAGCGAAAATTCATGTTATTGAGAAGCTACCGCCACTAACATCAGTTAAAGGGGTCCGTAGTTTCTTGGGGCATGCGGGATTTTACAGGAGATTCATAAAGGATTTTTAATGCAGATCACTAAGCCGCTATGCAATCTACTGATGAAAGACGTACCTTTTGAGTTTAATGAGGAATAACTGATAGTTTTCAACACTTTGAAGGAGAAACTCATGTCAGCATCAGTAATTGTAGCACCAGATTGGGAATTACCTTTTTAACTAATATTGACGCTAGTGATCACGCTGTGGGTGCAGTATTGGGACAGTGGAGAAACAAGGTTTTTCACGTGACCTACTATGCAAGCAGAACCCTAAATGATGCCCAAATCAATTATGCTATCACTAAAAAGGAGCTCTTAGCCATAGTATATGCATTCGACAAGTTTAGATCATATCTTGTGGGGTCTAAGGTCATCGTTTACACAGATCACGCTACACTAAAGTATCTTCTAACAAAGAAGGATGCAAAGCCGAGATTGATCCGATGGATATTGTTGCTGCAAGAATTTGACATTGAAATCAGAGATAAATGGGGCAGTGAAAATATGGTAGCAGATCACCTGTCCCGATTGGAGTCTAGAGAGACAGAAGAATTAGTGGATATCAATGAAATTTTCCCAAATGAACTAATGTTGAGCATAGAAGAAGCACCTTGGTATGCAAAAATTGTTAATTACTTGGCCAAGTCCATTCCACCACCAGATTACTCAAGCCTCCAAAGGAAAAAGTTCTTTGTCGAACTAAAGTACTACTTTTGGGAAGATTCAATTTTCTACAGGCGAGGGGCTGATCCGATAGTAAGGAAATGTATACCTGAAGAAGAAGTACCCGAGATCCTTGAGCATTGCCACTCCTCTACATATGCGGGGCACTTTGGAGCGTCAAAGACTGTTACAAAAATCTTACAGTCAGGGTTTTACTGACCTACATTGTTCAGAGATGCCTTTGAACTTGTGAAGAGGTGTGATAGGTGTTAGCGTACTGGAAATATCTCGAGAAAGAATGAAATGCCATTGAACAACATTTTGGAAGTGGAGATATTTGACGTCTGAGGGATTGATTTCGTGGGACCTTTTCCCCCGTCCTTCTCGAATCAATACATCTTGGTAGCAGTAGACTATGTATCCAAATTGGTGGAAGTAGTTGCATTACCATCAAATGACGCGAAGGCCGTAATTGGGTTTATGAAGAAGTACATTTTCACCTGGTATGACACACCGCGGGCTATAATTAGTGACAGGGAAAAACACTTTTGTGATTGCTAGTTTGAGCAGTTGTTGAATAAATATGGCGTCAAACACCATGTAGCTACTCCATATCGTCCACAGACCAGTGATCAAGTTAAAGTTTCTAATCGGCAATTGAAAAGAATACTTGAGGTTACAGTGAATTCATCTCAAAAGGACTGGTCTAAAAAGTTGGACGATGCTTCGTAGGCTTATAGGACAGCATTCAAGACACCGATAAGGATGTCTCCATATCGCCTAGCTTTTGGAAAAGCATGCCACTTGCCACTAGAGATAGAACACCGAGCATATTGGGCTATGAAATAGTTAAACATGGATTTGAAGGCCGTCGGTGAAAAGAGATTGTTGCAACTGAATGAGTTAGATGAATTTTGGATGGAAGCATATGAAAATGCAAGGATCTACAAAGAGGGAACCAAGAAGCGACATGACATGCATATTCAGAGGCGAGAGTTTGAAGTGGGGCAAAAAGTGCTATTGTACAACTCTAGACTCAAGCTCTCCCCGGAAAAATTAAGGACAAGGTGGTCGGGTCTCTATACAGTCACTAAGATGTTGCCATACGGGGCTATAGAAGTCAGCCACGAAACTAAGGGTACTTTCACAGTTAACGGGCAAAGGCTGAAACACTACTGGGACAGTGACTTCTCTAAGCAAAAGTCTACCGTTCAACTCGGGACACCAAAATGAAGCAGCTATGGGAAAGTCAAGCTAAAGACTATAAACTAGCGTTGGGTGGGAGGCAACCCACTGTATCATTTTCATTACTTTTAATTTTTGCATCAGTTTAGGAAACTTTGATTTTCATGCTTTATTTTTTTTTTTTTGGTCATCAATCATCCATGCATGTCAATTGAGTCTAAGCACTGTCTATACGGGTCCCTATTCATTGAGCACAAGTTAGGAATGATTGATTTAATGTTTAGGTGATTGGATGTGAACATCACGCATTTCGAGGTAGAAAGTGTGTTTTTCAAAGTATTTCGGGGATCAAAGGGTGACTTCAATTTTTTAAAGTGATTTTGGAACTAAGTCAAAGACCTACACGTGCTCCATATGGTCTAATGTGTTTTGATAAATTTTGGGGGACGATGAAAGGCAGGTTCGAAGTAAGAAGTTAAAAAAAAAAAAAAAAAGCCAAGAATTTGGGGAAAAATTTGGTCAATGTCGAATTTTGGGAAGTCAATTGTGTTCTTAGGAATTTTCCACTTGCATTTAGTTACAAAAAAAAGGGGACGTTTAGTCTATGCGACCGCATAGACTAAACATCTATGCGCATAGACTAAACATCGATGCGGCCGCATAGATGTGGTCAGGGCTAATTTATCTCTATGCGACCGCATAGATATACTCTATACAGTCGCATACTTTAAAACACACGACTCTCACACTCACACCAACACCCGGTTCCCTCCCCCTCACACTCATGCACAACTCTCGGTCCTCTCATCCCGTGCATCTCAACTCGCACACTACAAACACAAGACCCACAACTCATCACAATTCATAACTCACATTTCAACCCATCTTGCCATTCATCTTGTGGTGGTATAATAAAGTTCCAAATCTCTACATGTTTGCAAGGTAAATTCTTTACACCTATTCCATCAAGTCCAAAATTGGGAAATTTTTTTATTATTTGATTGGTATTCGATGGAGGTTCGACAATTGTGGTGTTTATGATTGATTTGTGACAGTGGATGCTAGTTTAGAGAGCTTTATAGACCAAAATAGTGATAACTTTAAAATGCTCATAATGTGTTTGATGAAATGCTCCAGTGACAATTTGTGCGCAATTTGATGCTTTTTGCATGAGTGATGAGTGACAAACATGGTGGCTAACACATTGTGAGGAATTCCCTCATCAATTGAAATAGAAAACATCTATGTCTATTTTACAACACATAGGCACATGGCTAGGTCACGACATGTCACGGCACCTCACGTTATCCACTTTGGCACATAATTCGACACATCTAATGACATCCATTTGATTGGAAATTTGAATATGTGGTAGAACATATTGTACACTCTCATTTGCCCATAGGTTGCTCGGGAAACTTTCAACCTTTCTCGATGATGTCCAGTGATGAAAGTCATAGGTCGATCATGGAACATATATTCCAAATATACTTCTTCAAGCCAAGTCTTATTGGTCAATGCTCCTTTTGACATGATAACCTTATTTTGGGAATTATTTTGTGCATTTAAAACGCCAACTTCATGTACATGCATTTTGAAGCAAGTTTGGGGGATTTAGACAATATATGCCTCGTTTTCCTTATTCCATACCTTGGGTGTCAACATGAAACCTAATAAATGTTACTTCACAACTTTGTATGGTGCCTCTAAAACGAACCTCGAAAGGGAAAGAAAAAGTTGGCTCATCTTTCGAAATAGCTCGTACTCGAGTTCCTGAAGAAGGGATACAAAGATTTCTGAATTCCAGGACTGCGGCCCGCTATGAAAACATTGTGAGTCGGTGGATAGTAACACCAGAGTGGGTGGTTAAATTAGATGATTTTCTAGGTTTTGAGTTGATCACTTTGGTGGATAACTGTGGGTGGGCAAAGGTAGTAGAGCAGTCACATCGGATCTATGAATCATTGGTGGGAGAATTTTACGCAAATTTCAATACAGAGATCGACACACCAGGGTCTGACCACTTGCATCAGACATGGGTCAGGGGACAGTGGATTATGTTCTCACGAAAGGTTATTTAGGACTACTATCAGCTCACGTAGGACAACATAAACCCCATCCTGGGCAATTTCAATTGGAATGAAGTGACAAAGATCCTGTTGGGATGACAAAATGCATGACCACTCCCCACCATTGCATGGCACCAGATTGAGTTGACATGGTCTATAGCCATCTTGTGGTTGTTCATATGACATAACATTGAGCCGACCTCGCATAGGACCACATTCACAGATCCCACAGTCGGGTTCATCTATCACTTGGTACGGGAAAATAAGATCGATCTCGCAACTCTCTGCTATAATAAGATCCATCAGGTAGGTACTCTAGGAGACAGTCATAGTTCAATGATTTTTCCTGGCCTCATCTCCGGCATATGCATGGTTGCTGGCATCAATATCGCACCAGGGGAGGCACCTGCTAAACCCATCTCTCTATAAAGCACAATACATTGGAAGCTTAAGATAGAGCTAGGTTAAAGCACAGGGAAAAGCAAGAGAATGAGCGCCATGGTGGCAAAAAGAGCAGGGTCAGGTGCCTGGGGATCAAGAGATGCCACAAGCTCCACCACCACAGATTGAGATAGATACACAGTTGTGGCGTCAAATATTCGCCACCACTATGGAAACCAGCCGCCACATACAAGGTCTCCAGTAGGCTATAGGGGCTTTGACGACTGACATGCAGACAGCCCAAGGTGACATCCACATCACCACTGATATGTCACGAGCTGCTCGCCTGGATTCCTAGGTAGCCAGGAAGGAAATGGAAACTATGAACGGTCGACTGAGTATGTATGTGGGCTGGGTGGATGGCATCCAGCATCTAGATACGAGTGAATGAGACTTGGGAGTGTCTGGACTGCATGGAGACATGTGTTGGCGGAATACAAGATGAGATGGTGCAGCAATCAGCGATGATGAGAGAGATTTTAGCGCGCCTACCTCCACCTCCAGATGATGTTATAGCAGGAAACATACCACCACCTCCATATCGATCAAGGGAATATTGTCTATTACTTTTGATTTTTATGAAATTGTCCTTTAATTATGTCTTTCAACTTTTGTTAATTATTCATTGAGGACAATGTATTAACTACGTTTAGGGAGGGGTGACATAATTTTGGACATCTTTATCACTTTGCATAAATTCATCAATGTTTGTGTCTCTTCAGTATATATGTTTCATTTTTACATGTTGTGTGCTTGACGAGTGTTACAAAAAAAATAATTTAAAATTGTGCATTTTATCTAGTGTACTTTATTTTCTTTCATGAGTGCTTACGTGTTGTGTGCTTGACGAGTGTTCAAAAAAAAAAATTTAATTGTGCATTTTATTTAGTGTACTTTATTTTCTTTCATGAGTGCTTGTGTGGGTTTGATAACCTTGCAAGCTATAATGTAAATATTTGTAATACATTAAGTTTATTTAAAAAAAAAAAGAACAACAACAAAAACAAAAAGACAAAAAAAGGGGCAGGCGGTGGAACTCAAACAAATCCATTATAAATTATCCAAATCCATTATAAATAACATACAACACACTGCACACACAAAAGAAAACGGTGCAAAGAAGAAGAGAGAAAAAAGAGAAAGGAAAAAGAGGATAAAAAAGGGGAAAAGAAGAAGAAAAAGAAAAAAAAAAGGAGGGGGGGAATTGTCAACGTGTTAGGAATTAAGTGCTCTATAATTTCTCAACTTTGAAAGGTAAGTAAAAAGTTACTTACTGAAAGGTTATGTTTGATTTTATAATTGTTAGATTGTCAGATTAAATTTAATTTTATTGAAAGGGTTAAGTATAATAAACTATGAATTGAGTAAATTGAAAGAAAAATTAGTTTTAGTATTTAATGAGACTTTAGAGATCGCTTAAACGTGAAATAATTAAGTTTGGGTATCGCCTATTTAATTATTGAGATTACTTAAATTAGTTAATTGTTGATTTAAAAATTATATTATATTTCAAGCGGCGATAGGATATCAGGACAGCGTACCAATCGAGTTGATTTTGACGTACATAATTCTGTGAGTGAGAAAATATAAATATTTTTAAAGTATTTATAAATTAAATATATTTTTAAAGTATGTACAATTATATGCAATTATGTGTTCGAATTATATGGTTATTATGGAAATATCTTTTATTATGATACATGTGGATTTTAAAGATTGTATACGGTACATTGTGAATTGGAATATGAGATATGATTTTGAGATCAACCAGAAAGTACCTGTGATTATATATTTCTTCTAGTTCACTGAGGGGCCTTGGTCGTGTTCTATACTACGTTGAAGGGTTTTGGACCGGAGATGAAGGGATCTCAACCATGTAGATTTAGTTCACTGAAGAGCCTTGACCGTGTTCTAGAATTGATTATGAGAGGTCTTTGAGACTAACTTTCGTTCACGGAAGGGCCAAAGGCCCGTGGCGAAAGTTCTTAGCCCGAGGGGCGGATTATATATTTCAGCCAGAGGGTACGTTTTTGGTGGATTTTTCAGCACGTTTGATGTGATGAGATTATAGCATGGTTATCAGCTGATGTTATATCATAATTTTAAGATGATATTTTATGACCTCATGTGAATATTTCACTTTTGGCAAATGATATGAATTTGATTTTCAATAAAAATATATAACTGAAAAAGTATATTTTTTTTGAACTTCTCCGCTCATTAAGCTATTAACTCATATTTTTCCATGTTTTTCCTTATCAGGCAGCAGTTGAGAATCTGAGCATCTTTTGGAGTTGAGCCTTGATTTTGGAGTCAAAGCCATATGACAGAGTTTGTTAGTATGACATACTTCATGGAACATGCAGTCTGTGTTTTGGGGCGCATGTTCATGTCTAGATGTGATTTTGCATCACTTGTAGATAGTTATGGGGCTCACTATGTATTATGTATCCATATGTATATTTCATTTTATTTTTTGGTAAAAGTTGAGATTTCGGCTTATCTTTATTGTGCTGTGCTATAGTTTGGGATTTGTGT